AGAAAGTGATAGAAGCAGTGGAATTATTGTCTTTGCCAAATAGAACTGGCAATAAAGATCAGAGTGAAAGTAGGCACTCTGGGGACCAAATGCAAGACCAGGTGTAGTGAATAGTTACTGAGAGCTGGTAGGGATAGGTGATTGATGTTTACAATTTCAAAGATGGAGAAGTTTGGGGATAACAGGATTCAGCCTGTGTTGTGTGGGTAGGTGACTTAAGTAGATTGGAAAGTAAAGATCGTGTTGAGGTTAAGGAACAACGCCAGAATTTTGGACAGGTCGGTGCACCCGGAACTAAAGTCTAGTTCTAGTAGATGTGTGTGTATGTATGTGAGTGAGTGAGTGAGTGTGTGTGTGTGTGTGTGTGTGTGTGTGTGTGTGTGTGTGTATTCACATATATGTTTATATATAAATATATAAAGTTGATTTTATGTTCTGAAGTGGTATTGCTAGATTGAATGGCCACCGCCCCCAAAATGTTGCACTTTGACATATTGCCTTCAAATATTTTATTGTTTGACACTCCCATTCTGAGAGTGTTGTCTCTTCACACTTAACACCAAGAATTCTTCAACACTGTCTTTTCCAGTATGATGGTGTATTGAACTAATGACATCTGACACTAAAATTTGTGATTCTGGTTACTAATAAGGTTGAACTTTTTATTGACTGTACTTATGAATTGTTGCCCTGTTATTTGTCCCTTATTTCTCTTGGCACAAGAAGTATTTTCTACCATTTCTCTCTCAATTTTTTTGCATTTTTCCTTTTGGTATTTGTCCTATTTCTGTCTGAAATGCATGCTTAGTTTATTAATTTTTCTTTAATAAACAGTTTTAATGTTAGTCTATGATTACTTTTTTAGTGAAATCATATAGGTACCGATGTCTGTAGAGTTCTCATTGTTATGTACTTAATATTTTTTAATCACCCGTTTTTGGTTTTTTTGGAGCAAAATGATTGGAGGTGTTTGTTCTTGTTGTTTGTCCTGCCTTTTTTTTTTTTTTAAACTTACAAGGGTTTTGGGGTTTTGTCCCTTCCTCACTCTTTTGACATACAAAGCTAGAGAGTAGGTCCGTTATTTGGGCTTATGAAAATACAGTGGAATAGTCTTTATGGCTAAACTTTTAAAGTGTATATTCTATGGGTGCTGGAAATAAAAGTATAATTTCCATTGGTTAGAAACTATGTATACATATCAATTAAGTCTAAATTGGCTACACATTCTTGTCTGTCAGGAATGAGATTCCTGTTTATTTCTTTCATTCTTTATTTTTTGCTTTATATATTTCTTTATTTTCCTTTCCTTACATATATTTATGCTATATTAATTTACTCATTCAGCAAGTGTTAATTGAGCAATTACTGTGTACTCCACCACTGTGTACTGTTCTGAGAACTAGAATCACTCATAGTAACACATGTGGTCTATCATTCATTTAACCAACCACAGTTGCAAATATTGCATCTCTTCTCTGAACAAAGACGTATGGAAGGAAATTATTCACCACAGAGTGCTCTGAGCTCTATGCTGTTGCTCAGCTGACTTCGGGCAAGTCATTTAGCATGTAAAGCAGCAGTTCTTAGGCAGTCCTCTCTTTTTGTTTTCAAGACCCTTTACATTTAAAATTTGTTGAGGACCCCAAAATAACTTTTATCAATGTACTTGTATTTACTGTATTAGAAATTAAGCAGAGGAATTTTCTAAATGTTCATTTAAATATAATAAATTTAAATTTAAATTATTATATTCATTTAAATATAATAAACCTATTAAATGTTACAACTAATATATTTTATGTGAAAAATTATTTTCCAAAACAGCAAAAAACAGTAAGACTGGCATTATCTTACTTGCTTTGCAAAACTTGTTTTTAGTGTTTATTTATTTAAAAAAATTTTTTTTAAGTTTATTTTGAGAGAGAGAGCACGCACAAGCAAGGGAGGGGTAGAGAGAGATGGAAATAGAGGATCCGAAGCAGGCTCTGTGCTGACAGCAGAGAGCCTGATACAGGGCTTGAACCCCACGAACCATGAGACCATGACCTGAGCTGAAGTCTGACCCTTAACTGACTGAGTCACCCAGGCACCTTGAAATGTTTTACTTTTGAGAGAGAAGAGTGTGCAAGCTTGAGAGGGCGAGGGGGAGGGGATGACTTGATCGGAAGTGGGCTCTGCACTGATAGCAGAGAGCAGGATGCAGGGCTCGAACTCTTGAACCATGAGATTCTGACCTAAGCAGAAATCCACCCAGGTGCCCCTTGTTTTGCAAAACTTTTTAATGTTTGGCTTAATAGAAAAAGATAGCTAGATTCTCATCTGCTTCTGCACTCAGTCTTTTGTGAAGTCACATGTTTTGTAGCCTCTGGAAAACTCAAGTATATACTTGTGAGAAAATGAGAGTACAAAAGGCAAATAATATCTTTTGACCTGGTAGACCTCCTGATAAGTAAGTAAGGTCTTAGGAATGTTTATGGCTCCTTCATCACACCTAGAGAATCATTGCTCTTGGCAATACAGGGTTTAAATAAATGGGTCTTTAAAAGTTACTTTATCTTAGAAATTTGTATAGTATCTTTTGTTTCCTGCACTTATCATGACATGCTAACTGAATGTATAGGTAAAATCAGAACTGCCAACATAAATTATAGAACAAGGGCCAACTGTAGAGTTGTTAGACTTGTGAATCCTTGTACGTTTTTATTCTGACCCACACATAGCATAGAATTTACTATCTTGTGGAATTTATATCCTGAGTTTACTGATGTTGACGTCAGATTCTCTGAGTCTTTTTTATTTTTTTATTTTTATTAAAAAAAATGTTTTTTATCATTTATTTATTTTTGAGACACAGAGAGAGAGAAGAGAGCATGAACAGGGGAGGGTCAAAGAGAGAGGGAGACACAGAATCTGAAACAGGCTCCAGGCTCTGAGCGGTCAGCACAGAGCCCGACGCGGGGCTCGAACCCACGGACCGCGAGATCATGACCTGAGCCAAAGTCGGACGCTTAACCAACTGAACCACCCAGGAGCCCCCCCGAGTGCTTTTTTAAAAAGCTGTTACTTATGGGGCATTTGGGTGGCTCAGTTCGTTAAGCATTCGGCTCTTGGTCACGATCTGTGGGTTAAAGCCCTGCATCAGGCTCTGCGCTGGCATTAGTTTTTCACCTAAAGCTTAGAACTATCAACTTAGACAGTTTTCAGAAGTATTCTGGGGAATTGAAGGAAATGGAATTTTCCCCCTTGATTCTTGTATCTTTAAATTTTTTTTTTTAACGTTTATTTATTTTTGAGAGAGACAGAGACAGAATGCAAATGGGTTAGGGGCAGAGAGAGAGGGAGACACAGAATCCGAACCAGGCTCCAGGCTCCAAGCTGTCAGCACAGAGCCTGATGCAGGGCTTAAACTCATAGAGCTGTGAGATCATGACCTGAGCCGAAGTCAGACGCTCAACCCACTGAACCACCCAGGCGCCCCTGATTCTTGTATCTTTAAAGTAATGAAAGTAGTGCTCTCTCTGTGTATCCCTATCAAGCAGTCTTTCACCTAAAGCTCAGAACTATCAACTTAGACAATTTTTCGAAGTATTCTGGGAGATAGAAGGAATGGAATTTTTCCTCTTGATTTTTGTGCCTTTAAAGTAATGAAACTAATTCCATTATATCTTCTTGCCTTTTTTACTCCTCTGCCACCGTGCTTTTTGATTAGTTTCAGAAATTGGACTCATTTTCAGAATACCTCATAATGAGCCTGTTGTCATGTAATTTTACAAGACAGAGATCATAAAGATCATCTGTTACAGTACCTCTTACTTTGTAGATGAGACAGCAGATAGTAGTCCTCGGCCAAGGCTGAAATTTGGAGCCACCTGTAAAGCTTTTAAAAAAGTACAGGTGTTCAGGGGCACCTGGGTGGCTCAGTCAGTTAAGCATATGACTTCAGCTCAGGTCATGATCTCCCAGTTCATGAGTTCGAGCCCCACATCCAGGCTCTGTGCAGACATCCCGGAGCTTGGAACTTGCTTCGGAATCTGTGTCTCCCCCTCTCTCTGCCCCTTCCCTGCTCACTCTCTCTCAACAATAAATAAATGTTTAAAAAAATTAAAAAAAAAATAAAGGTGTTCAGGCCCCATCTCTAGAAATTATGTTCTAATTGATCTTTATGAAGCCCCCTCAGATGACAGTGATGAAACATATCCCACTTTTAAAGTGAATCATTTGCATCGGGCTCTGTGCTGACAGCTCAGAGCCTGGAGGCTGTTTCAGATTCTGTCTCCCTCTCTCTCTGCCCCTCCCCTTCTCACATTCTCTCAAAAATAAACATTAAAAAAAATGTTTTTAAGTGAATCATATGCCTTTCTTTTGTTTGTTTATTTATTTATTTTTGAGAGAGAGTGACAGAGCACAGTTAGTGGAGGGGCAGAGAGAGAGAGGATCCCACACAGGCTCTCCACTGTCAGCACAGAGCCTGACACAGGGCTTGAACTCTCAAACCGTGAGATCACGACCTGAGCCGAAATCAAGATTTGGACACTTAACCAACTGAGTCACCCAGGCGCCCCTGAATCATTTGGTTTTTAACATTCTTATTTAACTTTTATTTTTATTGTAGATGGAACTATTTTATTTCTTAGACCTTTTAGGTTAGAGAGCTTTTCTTTTTTTCTCTGTGGGAAATAAGCCCTTAAGCTTTATAATGAGAATCAAGACTTCTGATGTTGCAATTTTTATTTTGAGTAGATTTATCAAGTCAACTGGTAAAAGTTTTTTCTTTTAATCTGTGTATGTGTAGCAGCTGGTGGTGAAGTTTATACCTATACCTAATGATACGCATTAAGAATGAGTCTTTTTTAATATAATATTGTGAAGACATGATCTTTAAGTTTTTGCAAGTATTAATGATTAATATACGTATAAAAGTTTTACCTTGCATTTCTCAGATTCTGGATAGTCATTTGTTGTTTAGACCTGTTAGAAAAAAATGTTTATTTTTCCTTTAGGTGAAGGCACTGAAAGAGAAGATTGAATCTGAAAAAGGGAAAGATGCCTTTCCTGTGGCAGGTCAAAAATTAATTTATGCAGGTATGAATTAAATATTGAAAGTAATGCTATCTTTCAGATTGTGTAGACAAACTCGTTCTGTCAGACACATACACAGTGTTTGTGTTTGGTATCTTTAAATCAAATGTTAGTGCCTTTTACCTGATTATATTTCCAATTATATTTTTCTTTATCTTGACTGATCACTTAATGATTTTCTTTGGGGAAAGTATTAATTGATAGAATTGACATTGGTAATTGTTTTAACTTCAGTTATGTGTAAGACAAAGGTTATGGGCTTCAAATAATGTATTCTTTTTTTCTTAATGTACTAGGCAAAATCCTCAATGATGATACTGCTCTAAAAGAATATAAAATTGATGAAAAAAACTTTGTGGTGGTTATGGTGACAAAAGTAAGTTTTAGCCTTGTTCTGTATATTTTTATGCATGCGAGGTTTTTTAAAAAAAATAAAGATCCCAAGTCCAGCCTTTATACTTTAGTGAATACAGTTTATGCACACCCATAGTGGCAGGCACTTGGCTGTTTTTTTAAAAATTTTAAGTTTACTTTGTGTGAACCATAAAGTTAATTTTATACATTTGTAGCTTAAACATTTTTAAATAAATTAAAACAGTGGATAAAATATCATGTGAAAATTGTTAGATTTTGCTGGAGTAGTAAAATTGCTAATTATTTAAAGATGTGATTCTTAGAATAAATATTTCTTATTTTGTGGTTTTAATAAGGGTGCCTTAAAGAGACTTGTTAAATTATGTGCTAGATCTGATACGCTCAAGCAGAAAAGACATGTAGACTCCTAAATTCAATGATATTTCTTAGTTGATGGGGTAGATTTTTAGAATCTAAAAAAGAATAAGGCAGTTAAAGAAATGAAGGAATGATTGTTGTGAGGAAGTTTTTTAAAGGGAATTTTTTGTGATTTATTGGACTGAAATATACTTGGGACAGTTTATCAAAGTTTTTCTCTAAAACAGAATGGATATGGGTTCTGTCAGGATTCTGTAATATTTTTATTTAAAGATACATAAGCATGCAGTAGAGAGTTAAAACAGAGAAGTGGTGTACTCGTGAAATGAATTTTTAGGATTGAATTATCATAATCTGAGAACAGTGATACTTGTAACCCTGAAAATAGGTTTAAATAAGTAATTGGAAACCAAGTTTATTAAGGACTATAAACCATTTATTAAAATAAATGTGAGGATTTTTTTTTTTAAGTTTAAGGTAATATATGCAGTAGAAATACAGAGAGTTGAGCAAGTAAATTTTATTTATTTTAACTTTTAAATTTTATTTAAATCCAAGTTAGTTAACATAGTGTAATAATGATTTCAGGAGTAGAATTTAGTGATTCATCACATACATACAACACCCAGTGCTCATCCCAACAAATGCCCTCCTTAGTGTCTGTCACCCATTTAGCCCTTCCCCACACCCAGCACCCTATCAGCAACCCTCAGTTTTTTTCTATATTTAAGAGTCAAAGAGGGGCGCCTGGGTGGCTCAGTCGGTTAAGTGTCCGACTTCGGCTCAGGTCATGATCTCATAGTTCGTGGGTTCGAGCCCTGCATTGGGCTCTGTGCTGACAGCTCAGAGCCTGGATCCTGCTTTGGAATCTGTGTCTCCCTCCCTCCCTCCTTTTTCTCTCTCAAAAATAAACATTAAAAAAATAATTTAAAAAAAAAGAGTCAAAGAAAAAAAGTCTCTTCTGGTTAGCCAGTCAGTTTTAATTACTGCATATTTTTGTCCTGAGTAAAAGCAGCTAAACGGTTTACATGTGTTGGACTTAAAAGTGTATAATCCATTAAGAGAACCATTGTGATTTTGCTATGTTAAAGCACTTACTCGTTAAATGTTTGGGTTTTTTTAATATAATTTATTGTCAAATTGGTTTCCATACAACACCCAGTGCTTATCCCAACAAGTGCCCTCCTCAGTTTCCATCACCCACTTTCCCGTCTCCCCCACCCCCCATCAACCCTATATGTTCTTAGTATCCAAGAGTCTCTTATGGTTTGCCTCCTTCTCTGATTTTTCCCCCCTTCCCCTCCTCCATGGTCTTCCGTTAAGTTCTCAAGATCCACATATGAGTGAAAACATATGGTGTCTTTCTCTGACTTATTTCACTTAGCCATTAAATGTTAAACTTTACATACAAGAAACAGAATCATGAGGAAACTTTGTCTCAATTGAGTATTTTTTAATTGTGTTAAAATATACGTAACACAAAATTTACCAGTTTAACCATTTTTAATTGTACAGTTCAGTGGTATTAAGTGCATTCACATTGTTGTGCAACCATCTCCAGTACTCTGTACCCACTAAATAGTAACACCCCATTCTGCCCCCACCCCCCCAGGCCTTGGTAACCACCATTCTACTTTCCATGAATTTAACTACTCTATACATCTCATATAAATGGAATCATAAAGTATTTTCCTTGTGTGACTGGCTTATTTCCCTTAGCGTAGTGTCTTCTAGGTTCATCCATGTTATAGCATGTGCCAGGATTTCTGTCCTTTTAGGGCTGAATAATACTCCATTGTCTTATCTAGTTTTATCATGAATAGTATGCAAAATGTGGTAGCCACATATTTGGATATGTATATGTTTGGGGTCTTATTTCCTTTAGTATTGTAATAACCTTGACTGTTTAGAAAGTAACTAAGAATTAAGCAGGATAGGTCTCAGAATAGATGGATGTGTTTGAAGAATAGCTACTTAGAGCCAAGCTTTTTCTTATTTTACACAGGACTCTACTGATAATTTGTGGTTATTTTATTTTCAAGTTAATAATAGAAGCCATCTATTAGAAGGGGAAGTAGTAGGCATTCTAGAGGCAAAGAGAAATGACCTTATTATAAAGAGCCAGGAAAACTGTTTAGATCAGAAGTAAGCAGCAAAACTTCAAAAAGCAGATGGGTTTGCTACCATTTAGAATGAGGCTTAAATAGCACTGTGGCAACAGACTTTGCGAGGGCATGAAATGTTATATTATTATAATCATCGTAAATAATCTTAAGGGAAATACTAAATGAGCATAATACATTTAAATTACATTTTAATCTAAATCAGAGTTTAGAACATTAATAATTTGCAGAGTATTATATTGGCAGTTTGAAAAGTTATAGGGCTAAACACAAGACTCTTAGAACAAAGAAAAGAGGGAGTGAATGCTCCTAGTATTATTTTTTTTCAGTCCCCTGTCCTACCTTGCACAGCAAGTCTTTCCAGTGCATGCTCAACTAGCTCACATCAAACAAGAGAGTTATTTTGGTGATGCTTTTATTATTATTATTATTTTATTATTTTTTTTTTTGGTGATGCTTTTAAATGACAATAAATACCTTGAAGTTATAACCTTGGAACTTAAACTGTAAAGTTTGGTAGGGGGTAATTAAATGGTCCTTTTTTTTTTAGTACACATTCTATATATCTCTGAATAGTGGCTTCTATTGGTTTTTTTTTGTAGTGACTTGGTAACATAACAAAGACAAACTGTTAGCTAAAAGCTAATTAAGGTTGTTAGTTAATATATCAGCTTTGAAAGAGTAACATAGTGATTCAGATTGCTAATACTGATCATTTATTAAGTTACTTTACAAAATTATTTTCAAGTTACAAGTTTATATTAGCGTTATGTTTGTAGCCTCCTATAATGATAGTCTACTTAGAGATCAGGTAATAATGTGGTATTTTATCATGATTCATTATTTTACTTTTTTAATGTGTTTAGCCCAAAGCAGTGACTACACCAGCACCAGCTACAACCCAGCAGTCAAATCCTGCCACCACGACCACAGTTAGCTCCACCACAGCTCCAGCTGTGGTCCAGGTCCCGACCTCTCCTCCCGCTTTGGCTCCCACTCCTACCCCTGCATCCATCACTCCAGCATCAACGACAGCATCTTCTGAACCTGCGCCTGCTAGTGCAACGAAACAAGAGAAACCTGCAGAAAAGCCAGCAGAAACACCAGTGGCTACTAGTCCAACATCAACTGACAGGTAAGAACTGTATTCTAGGAAATTGTATCCCAAAACACGTTCATATTAGGAACTTCATGCATGTAGGGGTGCCTGGGTGGCTCAGTCAGTTAAGCGTCCGACTTCGGCTCAGGTCACAGTCTCATAGTTTGTGAGTTCAAGCCCCACGTCGGGCTCTGTGCTGAACAGCTCAGAGTCTAGAGATTCTGTGTGTCCCTCTCTCTCTGCCCCTCCCTGCCTGATCTCTGTCTCTCTCTCAAGAATGAATATGAATAAACATTAAAAAAAAAAAGAACTTCATGCATGTGTTTGTTTTGATTATTGTTTTGATCAAACTAACTTTGTTTCTACTCTGTTAAACTTTTCTGAACATTGAACTCTCACTAAAACTAATTTTTGTGCCTGTTTAAATTTTTGTGATCCAGTTTTGTATACTCCATTATTTTTTTTCCCAGGGGGAAGGGAAAGAGGGTCAAAGTTATTCTTCATTTTGTGTAGAAAAATTAGGAAATACAAATGCCCAGAAAGAATTATAAAAATAACTTCATATTTTATTATAGTTTGACATATTATAAATAACTTGACACTGCCCCAGTCATTATTTATATTATTTTCTGATTGTTGTCATTTCTATTGTAAACATCTTTCATTCCATTAAATATTTCCATTTGCTGCATAGCATTGTGTTTGGATCTGACGTTTGTTCACGCTCAACCTTAGAAAAGTAACATCTTTGGGTATTTTCCTCATCTGAAAATTTGTGGATGGCAACCTATCTCCTAGAGTTGTTATAAGGATTAAATGGAATAATGAATATAAAAGGTGTATAAAATAGCACACGGTACACAGCAATACGTATCAGCTGTTGTGGGTACTTCACCTACCACCTTTTGTTGAACATATGGATTGTTTCAGTTTTCCACTGTTTTATCTATATTTTTGTGAACTTTTGTAGACATTTAAGTTTTGCCTGTGTAGATCTTTAAAACCAAAGAAAAAGCACTGGGATATTTGTGGAGCAAGAAATAATTTCTTGTGAGAAGTTGACAAGATAACTGAGTAATTTATGACAAAAGTTTTTTCCCCCAATGGTAAATAAAAGAACCAAAGCAAGTGCTTTATTTTGCTTGGCTGGAGCTTGTAGGGGGAATTTCTGCTTTATCTGACAGCATGGGTTGTATTAAGTCCAGTGTGCATTGGCACTGGAGCAGTTTGTGTTTTGTGACTTTAATATAGCTTGGGACCTCAGTGGCAATAGTTAGAGTCCTTGGAATCAAAACCAGACAGAATGGAGATCTGTACAGGAGTTGGAAACACGTACTGAAAGGGAAGCATGTTTGTGATAAATACAACAATGATCAGAAAAAAATTAGTTACGATTATTTTAGTGTTTTACCTATGTGTTCAGTTTCTATGTCTGATCCAAGTCAACCATGTTTGGAGGGGTTTGAGTCATCTGGTTTATTGCTCACTTTGGGCCTCTTTTCAAGGAATTAAATATTTACTCTATGCCTGCCTGCTGCACTTTGCCTTAGTTTAGGCCTTCTGAGACACTGTCACCTAACTTGATGCTTCTCCCACGTACATTTAGAAATGCATTCAACACTCTTACCTAGTGGGAGACAACCAGACTCAGGTTAAGCTGTTCTATCAAAAGGTTGTTGGTCCATTCTGTGTGAAGGAGGGAAGTTAACAAATTTAACACATTGTTTCCCAGACCATTTAAACATTGTAAATGTAATTAAATATATGTTCATCAGTACAGGATAGCCTATTTTCTTACATGTTTTCAGCTCTTCGAAAAGCGTATAGTGAGAATTTCAGAATTGATCGGTACAATCTCTTTTTTTTAAATTTTCTTCCTGGAGGTACAGTTTCACTTACCGATTCTTAAGATTCAGGATTACCTTTTCAGACCTACAGAGGTTGCATAAATCAGTAGATGATCAGTGATCCACAGAGCAGATACTAGAGTTACTTACTTGGTTGGGCTTTGTACACCATTTCCCCAAATTATCACCACCTTCGAGAAGGGTAACAGAAGGATGAGGGAAGCTCAGAAAACTGGCTGCTTAAATGTGCCTTACTCCTTTCATCTGCTCTAAAACATTTAGTGTCCTGTTAAGCACAAAACTTAGTGGGCTAATTATCAGGAGATACACTGGTACCAATTCGAGGGACATCAGAAAGTTTATTCATCACCCCTGGCCTGACATTTCGTTATTAGTCATTTGTGTCTTTAGGCCAGTTTTGTTCTTTAAAAACTACCGATTGCAATGCAAATCCTATTTGTATATATCTACCTTAGAGAAACTGCCTGTGTGTACAAAGACTGCATTAATTTGTAATTAAAGACAAATTGGAACCAACCTAAAATATCCATTAATAAGGGAATGACTTGACCTGCAATTTATTCATATTGGAGAGCAATGCTGCTTGAAGGTGGTAGTAAGTAGGCAGCATCAGCGTCACTGGGAGTATGTTTGAAATTAAACCCCTGACCTAAGTCAGAATTCTCTGGGGGCAGATCACAGAAATCTGTATTTTAACAAGCTCTCCTGGTGAATTTTTAGGCTTCCTAAAGTTTGAGAAGCCCTAATATCCAATAGTACAGGCCAGTTAAAGTATGTAGTATATATGCATATTGAGTGAATGTGGTTTCAAGGCTTTGTTATCAAGTGAGAAAAAGAGATTACAAAATAATATGGGCAGTAACTGTAAACCAAACAAAAGCCACAAAACGACATCATATATTTTCTTTGGGTATATATAGTAACGTGTAGTAACAAAGGAACAGCACACTAACTGATAAGTGGTTTCCTCTGCAGATGGGGAAGGAGAAGCAATGAGGCAGAGTCAAGGTTGAAGAATGGCAGTCCAACCTCACCTCACTGTGGTCTGTGATATGTAAAAGGAAATTTTAAAGCCGTATGCAAAACAGCACAAACTGTTCTGTAAAAGAACTGCAGGAAAAAACACTAGGCCTACCAGGTAGTAGAATGTACTCTATCTACATGGTAACAATTGCGACAATTTAGAGTGACTCTTACTAGAAATACGGCTCAGTTAAATAGATAGTATTCTAGAAACAGACCAGAATACATACCAGAGACTTCATGCAAGATAAAGATGTGATTTCAGACCACTGAGGAAAATGCTGTTGGGATTAATGTCTAGCCAAATGGAAGGGGAAAGATGGATCACTCTAGACAGATCACGATTCAACATAAAAGTGAAACCATAAACAAGAGAACATGGAAAAATAAAAACCTTTAAAAAGTTATAAAAGGAATAATTGATAAATTTGTCCATAGAAAGAATTTAGTAAGAGCTTGATTTGGCCAATTAAATGGAGTACTGTGCACCTGGGGAAAAACAGGTAGTTGTAGTTATGCTGACTGAGATAATCAAGTTAAGGGAAACACATTCAAAAGCAAGACACAACTGCTTGTTACATAGAAACTGCTAGTGGTGGTTGTTCCCTAGGTTGGGGTCTTGGGCAAAATTAGTTTTCCTGTATACTTTTCAGAACTTTTTTCCTTCTGTCCATGTTAGCCTATCGAGTTAATGAAGATACTTTAAAAATTATACCAAACAAGTAGTTTAATCATGATAATCATATCGGATGTTAGGATGCCAGGCACTTTGCTAAACACTTTACCAGCAGTAACTCCACATACATACATACATACAACTTAGTGATACATGGATATTATTGTTGACCCCATTGTATTGATGAACAAACTGAGGCTTAGAAAGTAATTTATGAATTCAAACTTAGATATTCTACTTGCTCTTGCTATGCTATAGGATTTTCTCAGAACTGAAGTCCACTGTGTTCTCTTTTTAAAATTGGGAATAAGTGTGTTGTATGTATGTTTTAATCTAACTGCTCCCTTTACTACTTTTGTAAACTTGAATTTATTTTTCTTTGGCCTACTCATCCTGGTCTTTCATAATCTTGTTTTTGTCTACCTTGTTTTCCAGACTCATCTTCTGCAATTGCCCAGCAGAAACTTAGTGCTTTTAACTGATTAACTTTCGGTTACAACTTGCATTTTGTCACACGTCTCCCCATTTTTTGCTTATGCTGTGTTCCTTGATTTAAATGCCTTCCTTCAGTTTCGTATAAGATCTGACTGAAATTCTGTTATGTAAAGATTTCCCAGGTCTTTCCAGCCTAATGTGGCTATTTATCATGTACAGGTTTTTCTCCACTATTTGAAAGTAGAGCGTTCCTTTGAAACCTTTTGTAAAAGCAGAAATAGCATAAAGCAATGAAGCAATTATCATTAATTTATATGGAAAAAGTTTTGATCATTCCCAGACCCAAAAAATAACCTCCCAGGCTTAGGACACACCTTGCTAGTGGGTGCACAAAGTAAATTAAGACAAAGCACAAATGCACACACACACGGTTCAGAATTAACAGTGACTTGATACTGAGATGCTGAGTCTAGTTCCAGTTGAAGGAGCTTGGTGGCGCCACTCACTTCTTGGGGTGTACACCTCTAGAAAGGCTTGCTGCAAAGCAAATGAAACACTGTTTTCACTTTTCTTGTAAAAGCAGAAATCCTCTTCAGAGACCATCCTCTGGATTTCTTATAGTTAGTGAAAACAGGTATTAATGTAGATCTTTTGTAAAAGCAAAGCAGTGGACTGTGAACTATGGAAAAGTGGAGATACTTGCATTGTTTGTATTTCTTCCACTGTGACTTATTTAACTTCTCATGTAAATTCTTTCAGGGAAATGGTTGTGCATTCTCTTTTTTGTATTCCTTAAGTAGTAAGCAGTCTGGTTATTTTACATCTTTGGACATTTAAAATGATGCATTTGCAGAAGAATGAGTATTAAGATTGGAAATGTTATGGATAAAGGCTTTAGGGATTAATCTAGAGGACAGTTTAAACACTGTAGCCAGACTTTTACTTTTAATTAAAATAAAATAATCTCTTTATATAGTGGACAGTTACTAAACTTTAAGTTTATATACTTTCTGAAGTATGATTTTTTAAAAACCTTTTGCAGTACATCAGGAGATTCTTCTCGGTCAAACCTTTTTGAAGATGCAACAAGTGCACTTGGTAAGTGTCTACGTTGTAAATGACCTTATCAGAGGGATCATTTCTTTAGGTCATGTGTTCATCTTCATGGTTACTCATAATCGAGTTGCTAAATGGTTTTGATAATTGTTCGATTAATGTTTCTAAAGACTTTGTAAATTAATGTGTTATATATTGAATCCTTAGAATTGTACTGTTGTTATTCGAGGTAAGCATATTCTTTTAGTTAAAGCAGACCATTTTCCAAATGTGAATTCTAAATATGGTCTTAACAGAGTTTGAACTATGTACAGGTGTATTACAAAATGTTTTTGAAGTCTGTACAGAATGTTACTAAATCTGTCTCACACCTCATCTTATTCTCCTTCAGCCTTTATTCCAGTTTGTAGCCCTGTCGGGTCCCGTCTGTATTTCATTGCTTATATCATGCTTGTAGTGAACATACCTTTCTATCCCAACTTTTTTTTTTTTTAAGTTTATTTATTTTGAGAGAGAGGGAGAGAGAAAATCCCAAGCAGGCCCCGAGCTCTGTCTCACCAATCGTGACATCATGACCTGAGCCAGAATCAAGAGTTGGCTGCTTAATCAACTGAGCCACCCAGACACCCCATCCCAACTTTAAATTTAACTATGCTGGATGATGCTCTTTCATCTCCCCTTCACACTTAATATGTCAAAATCAGTTTTGTTTTTTGCCCCTGTTTTTCCATTATAACACTTCGGTATGTTTCCTCCTGTGCCTGCTGATTATTGGTCAGTTGGCTGGGAACCCATTCCTCCCCTTTGGTACTATTCTGTGTTACTGGAAATGGTAGGGAGGTAGAAGACTGGGAACAGGTGGGAACAGCAGCTTCAGTGGTATGGGCTTCTAGTTTCTTTGCTTACTTAGTTGCTGCAGCAGCAGGGTTCTAACAGCAGTAGTACCTCATGAGATGTAGGGTGGCCTCTGACCTGATTGGACTTGAACTCCATGAACCTCTCATTGCCATGGAAACGGCATCTTGGCTGCCCATAGCATGTAGGGGCAAAATGTTACTAAGGTCACCGCATGTACCACACCCACGTCTTTACATTTACTGTTGTCTAGGACTGCTCTGCTACCAAGTAAGTATAAGTTAGTGTCCAATCAGCAAAATAGAAATCACTCTGTTTCATACAGGGACACGCTTAATCCTCAGAAGTCCTTACAGAGATACTGAAAGGACTAGAGATGAGCCAGAAATCGGTAATGTGCTCTCCACTTGCAGAGCTGGAACCCACTGACACTTGTCCCTGGGACTGCCGAACTGTCTGCTGCCACCGCTGCTATCTCAGTCGGAAAGCGTGGTGCCTCCAAGCTCTAGCTGCTGCTACTATGCGTGCACCTCTGAAGACGGTGTCTTACCTTTACGTCTTCTGTCAACCTGTACGGCTTAGGTCATGGGACCCCTTTACTCTTTAATTCACCCAGTCTTTATGTAGATACCCTGCTGCTTTAAGCTTTTCTTTTATGGCTTGTGACACTACTCTTTTCTTGATCCATGCCTCTGACTACTCCTTTTCAGGCCTTCTAGTTAATTCTTTTTATTTTACCTGACCCTTAAATATACGGATCTTCTGCGGTTCTGCTCTAGCCCATAGTTCAGAGTTCAAACTCTGGAAATACTATAATGATTCCCAAAATTATAACCCCAGTACACATCTCCTTCTGAGCCTCCAGATTCAGATGTGAACTGATTCATTCTTTAAACTGCCACCTGGAAGATGTCCAACCTCCATAAACTCTGTAGGTTCCAGACAGAGTCCTGTTTTATTCCCCCATCCAATTCTTCTCCTTTGTTCCTCATTGCTTGCACCATCATCTCTAGCAAACATTGGCGTCGTTCTTTTTTAAATTTTTTTTTTTTTCAACGTTTATTTATTTTTGGGACAGAGAGAGACAGAGCATGAACGGGGGAGGGGCAGAGAGAGAGGGAGACACAGAATCGGAAACAGGCTCCAGGCTCTGAGCCATCAGCCCAGAGCCCGACGCGGGGCTCGAACTCACGGACCGCGAGATGGTGACCTGGCTGAAGTCGGACGCTTAACCGACTGCGCCACCCAGGCGCCCCAGCATTGGCGTCGTTCTTGATCCCCCTGCCTCTCTTGGCCTGTTGAGCCCAGGGTACTGATGGCCCTCCTTTCTAATGTCTCCGGAATACTTGTTTCCACTGCCACTTGCCTGCCTTAGTTCACACCCTTACCTCACTAATACTCCTGCATTATTCTCTCCTACATGTCAGTGCTCTGTTATAGTGGGTTTTATAAAAGGCTGATCTAATGAGGTTATTGTTAGTTCCTTGTGCAGTTTCTTGTGACCGGGAAGATAAGACTTGATGACACATAAAGGTTCTTCGTCACTACTACTTTTAGTCTCATTAGCTCTCTCTCTTGTGTTGTCCATTGTCCCTAGTTTTCCTATGAGTAGCAAACTGTTTATAAGCATTTATTTTTGAGTTTTGATAACTTGACTAATTAGGAGGCGTGATTTTAGGAGGTGTAACATGATGACTTGGTTTGGGGGCTCAGGAGTCTGACAGCCTGTGTTGGTCTCTGCACCATGACTTACCAGCCATTGATCTCATGATCAAAATAAACCTTTCTCATGGAGTTACTGCGAGACTTAAGTGAGAAACACCATGTTAAAATCGTTTAGTTCAGGTAGTCCACAGCTCCTAATTTCTTTTATCTTGATGCTGAATTCTGAATCTGGGAACTAAATTACTCAGAGTATATTGGCACTTAAGTAGCTTTGTGCCAGAAGTATATGAATAGGTGATTAAGAAAAAAAATATCATAACAAGTCCTCTATGGAAGCAGAAAGGAAAAGTCCTTAACTCTAGATATCAAATGCCACCTTAGCTCAGTGATATTTAGGGTTTTTTTTTTTAACTATACTTTTATAGGTAACAAATGCCTTTTGAAAATTCTGCAGAAAATCATTAAACTGGTAAGAGTATCACTGTGCCAGGGAAACGGTGATGCAGAATGACAGGGTCCCTTGCACAGTTGAACTTTTCATTCAGATGGGGTAAAGAAAGAAGGGTGAAACGTAAAGTAAATTGCAAATTATGATTAATGATTTTAAGGAAACAAACGGCTTCCTTAAAAACAGAAGGTGCTTATACATAGGATAGGCAGTACATCTGTGAGACTGTAACATTTAAATTGAGAACTAGAGCCTGCAGAGGAACTGGCCCTCACACAAGCCTGGTATGTGTGTAGAGGTTCTGCGGCAGGTTTTAGAAGGTACGACTTATGAACTGGAAAATATCAGTGTGGTTGGAGCATGGTGTTTGAAGATGGTTGGGAGGTTTTCTTTTTAAAGGCTCGCTTTTGCAGCCATGTGAAGAAAGAATTGTAGGCTTGAGGGAGGCGGTGGGAAGGGGTAGGAGAGGAAGCAGGGTGTAATCCAGAGACTTTTGTGGTCTGGTCTTGAGTGAAGGCAGTGGAGAAAGGGGGAACCTAGGTAGTTTTGCACTGTAATTCAGAGGGAGGGTCTGCAGATAACGCTGCTAGATGAGATGTGAAAGACAAGGGGAAGGGAACTGTGATCACCAGTTTTCTGGTTCTTGTACTTGTGTGGAAGGATGTGCTGTTTATTGAAACGGAGAAGGCAGATAGGTAGTGGAGGGGCACATTTGAGGGAGAAACCTTTAGAGATCCAAAGTCACATGTCAATATTGGTTGAGGAGTGAGTGGAATGTGAGAAGTGGACACAGCCTGTGCAAACAGCTATGGCTGGAAAGGGAAGGGAGCGGACATTTCTGAAAGAGAAGTCGAGATGTGGCCATGGGGGCATGCTTCTGTTTTTAGGATGACATTCTAGGATATAGTTAACTGCTGATCAGGATAATTAAGTGGAGAGTGAAGGGTGGGAGGTGGAAAAGAGAGAAGATAACTAAAGGGTACAGTTCTTTGAGGAGACAAGAAGGGATGAATAGCACCCAGAACACAAGGAGAAGAAAAGATGGCTTAAGTGAGGTGAGTTTAGTGTAGAGAGTTGGCTTTCTTTCAGAGTGTGGTCTGTTGTCTGACATTTCCATGAAGAGCAAGCTTGGGTCAGAGACAGCCTGTGGGAAGTGATTTCCTGAAATAGCAGTGCTTGGTTCATTGCCCCAGCTCTGTATGGTATGAGAAAGTCTAACTTTCTGATTTCTAACCTCCTTTTTCCCTCTGCTTTGATAATAAAAGGTGTCAAGGGAAAACTGAACTTGTTATAGCCGAATCGATTGCTTGAAATGTCCCTCCTACTTGTTTCAGAAATTAGTTCATCAGTCTCTTCTAGGTTGCCTTCCCTGACCTGCTGATTCTGTCCCATATTTGTGCTACATTTGTGCCTGATATTTATTGTACTTAGAAGTTACCACAAACTTCCTGGTATGAAACAACACAGATTTATTATTATGGTACAGTAGATTAGAAGTCTAACATGGTACTCTCTGGTCTAAAATCAAGGGGCTAAATCACTGGGCTACTATCAGAGCTGCATTCCTTTCTGGATACTCTAGGGGAGAATTTGTTCTGTGTCTTTTCCAGGCTTCTGGAGGCTACCCACATTCCTTGGCTTATAGCCCCTTCCTCTTTCATCAAAGACAATAGCATAGCATTTGTGACCTTGCTTCTTTTCTCTTGTCTTTATATCTGTTTCTCTGACCCTCTCCTCTGTTTTCCTTCACTTTTAAGGACTCTTGTGATTACATTGGACCCACCCAGATAATCCGGGATAATTTCCCCATCTTGAGAGTCAGTTGATAAACAACCTTAATTCTGCTTTACCTTGTAAACCTAAGGTATTACAGATTTCCATGGATTCGCAGGGGCCATTATTCTACCTGCCACATATGTGTAGTTTGTGCTGTTGTGCCTCTTTGTATTCCTAGCCCTGCAGTGCCTGAAACACTGTATACACATGAAGCCCCAAGAAATATGTGGAAAATGTGTACTTATTAAATGTTTCCTTTCTTTCCTCTCCCCCCATCCCACATACCTTTTCTTAGTGACAGGTCAGTCTTATGAGAATATGGTAACCGAGATCATGTCAATGGGATATGAGCGAGAGCAAGTAATTGCAGCCCTGAGAGCCAGTTTCAACAACCCTGACAGAGCAGTGGAGTATCTTTTAATGGTGAGAAATGTTTCACTTCATTCTACTTTAAAACTGAAAGCTCACAGATCTTAAAGGAACAATAACAGTTCTCAGAAAAATGATAATATATGCTAATAATTTATATAATGCGTTTTTATTAGTGTGTTAACGCTTTGTGTTGAAAAGATGTAGTCTCTTTTAAAGATTTTGATGTGATTTTTAGTTAGGAAACAACGTGACTAAATGAGTTGTAAAATTAGCTATCCACTTGGAGCAGTACCTTGTAGCCTATTCATGTCATAATGACAGCTTGTGTGTTTGGAGAGTGGAGACAGATTTTTTTAAATCTGATCTTCCATTTTTAGTAGCTTTTTGACAGCCAGCATACTTACTCCTGGGTATACTGTTTAAGGCAAAAATATCAAAGTGGAAGCCCATGCCCATTTGTATTTGTCTTGTACTATGTACATTTTTGTAATTCATTGGCCATCTTTTAAAAATTGAGAGATTTCACTTATAAATTCAGATAGCTGGTTTGTCTGGACAACTTGGATCCAGATTTTTGCAAGGGTTTAGATCATAGACTCTTTAATTTACTATATTCCCATCCATTCCCTGTTACCTGACATAGCATTGTACATTTAATTTAATTTATAATGTTATATTATTTGCCTGGTTCCATTTGCATTTGAATTGTCAGCTTGTTTATAGTCCGTGGTAGTCAAGGGGATTTTGAATAAGTTCTTGTCTTTTACTAGCATAAAATTTTGAGAAATAGATTGTTGTGGACATGGTATTTATGACAGTGAATGTCTGTTATTTACAGATATGGCATGGGCTAAAATAATCGCATAGAATTTTGGAGCAACATTTAATTAGCTTTTTAAAAATCTGGGACGCCTGGGTGGCTCAGTCGATTAAGCGGCTAAATCTTCATTTCAGCTCAGGTCATGATCTCACGGTTTGTAACTTCAAGCCCCACATTGGGCTCTGCGCTCACAGCGCGGAGCCTGCTTTGGATCCTCTGTCTCCCTCTCTCTGCCCCTCCCCAATTCTCTCTCCCTCTCTTTCTCTCTCTCTCCCTCCCCCTCTCTCTCTCAAAAATAAAAAAATGAAAAAAATTTTAAAAATCTTAACATTTTATTCCATAATTGTCTTCGGTGTTTTACAGTATTATCAAGTTCTGAATTGCCCTAAATATCATCTTAGAAATCCAGAATCCTAACTCTTGTGGGGAATATAGTTCACAGTTTAACCCATTCATTTGTTTCCAGGTTGTACTTTTGTTAGAAACTCCTTTTCAGATAATAGTTTCAGGAGAGTCAAAGTCAAGAGTGAGTAACTGTGCTGCCTCCACCAGTTATTTGCCTACTCATTTGTATGTGAGATTCACAAAACCTTTTATCATTTCCTCTTCTGAATTCTCTTTTCCATTGTCCTCTTGATGAGAGTCTTTAAAATGATGGTAGTCCATTTATCAGTTTGTAATTTAGGAATCATTTTGGATTGGTAACTATTGTGAGTTTGTTTGTGGTACCCTTCCCCCCCACCAAGAAAACAAACCCTATATTCTATTAAAGTATTACCTTTCCTTTTATGGAGTGACTTAAATGTATACCTGTGTGGAATTCTGCATTAGTTTAATGGAAGCAGGTATTTTAATCTAATAGATCTGAAGTTTTAAGGTATAAAAAATAGATCACTGTTTTCAAAGTTACTACTTTTTAGCATCCAATGCAAATGAATAGATACAAGTTCATGAAACACTTTATTTTCATTTTAATATTCATTTACTTTTGAGAGAGAGTGCAAGGGCGGTGGGGGGGGAGTCAGAGAGAGAGAGAGAGAGAGAGGGAGAGAGAATCCCAAGTAGGCTCCACTCTCAGCACAGAGCCCGATGCGGGGCTTCCATCCCACAGACCATGAGATCATGACCTGAGCTGGAATCAAGAGTTGGATGCTGAACTGACTGAGCCACCTGGGCGCCCCATTTCATGAAATAAGTGTTTTTGCTATATTTAGTGTTCAATTCATAGACTGAAAAGAAAAAGGCCACCTTTAACTGTCACTAATTTTTGAGACTTCTATAGCAGTGATTAACTTTTTAGTTTAACAAACCTGTTTGAGATTTTGATGGAGGCTTTGGATCCTCAATCTGCATATAATCTGTCAGCACTTACGGATTTGAATTGGTGGAATGTCCGAAATGTTTGTTTCTAATAGCTGGAGGGACAGCTAACTCGGGCAGCCATTACCTGTAATGCTATTCATTAACCTTATTTTTTCATATGTTTATGATCTTGGCTTCTGATTTTTATTGGGAAATGGAAGAATTTACCATTACCATCTCTTACCCAAATGTTATATTTCCTTCTTCATTCTTCTTTCACAATCTGTATGGATTTCATAAAGACTTTTAGTATGTTGTTATGAAAAGTCTTGTAAATCATGCATCAGAATAGTGTTCCAAAGTCTCAGTGCAGTTTTAAGTTACAACTTCAGAAGACGAATGGTACAAACTTAGAATAAGCATCACTTAAATATTGAAATATTTAAGGTTCTTTGGTAACTACTTCTGTGAATTTTGAATAATCCATTTTAGTTTTTTCTATGTGATACTTTCCGGATGACACTTTCTTAGAACCATGGATCAATAGAGGAGATCCTCCTTCCTCGGCCACTATTGGCCACCTGCCCTGTCTCCATTAGGCTTTTATTCCAGGGTTCATTTCAGAGCTGCACGTGTGCATCAAAACCTGTTTCTTTGGATGATTTTAAAGCTAGGTTTACAAATATAAACCTTTTTGTCACTGAGCTGGTGAACGTTTCTATGAAGTTTAAAAATTAACTAGGGCAATGTATAGCATTAAAACCAGATGTGTCCAATTTTAATAAAATTTGTATTGATATTTTAAGTTTTTTAATAGTTGGCCTTATAAAACTGTACATTATTACTTAATATGCAAGTTTTGGATCTTTGGTGTTAGGTGTAACCTATGTTGCTATATGTAAACATCATTTTATGACTTCAGTTTTAAATTACAAATCTCCACAACTTAGTAAAATAGCTATTAAGTACAAGTAGCTATTTAAATTTAATAAAATTGGAAGTATATTAAAAAGTTAGTTTCTTTAGTAATCTTAGCCACATTTCAAGTTCTCAGAAGTTACACGCGATTAATGAGTATCTTTTTAAGTTTATATATTTTGAGGGAGAGCATGCCGCATGGGCATGAGTGTGGGAAAGGTAGAGAGGCAGAGAGAGAATTCCAAGCAGGCTTTGTACTGTCCATGCAGAGCCTGACATGGAGCTTTATCTCATGAACTGTGAGATTATGACCTGAGCTAAAATCAAGAGTTGGGGGCTTAACTGAGCCATCCAGGTGCCCTGTGATTAATGAGTATTTTATCGGACAGCACAGAGAACATTTTCATCATTATGGAAAGTTCTGTTGGACAGTACTGCCTTATAGCAGTATGGGTTCTTCTACACCACACTCAGGTCATTTCTAATCTAACTCGGACATATACAGCTTCCAGATCAGTCTTAATCCTTTACTTTTATTTCTGTTTTTGTTTATTTGTTGAGAGGGAGAGAGGCAAAGGGAGAGAGGGAGAAAATCCCGATGCGGGGCCTCAATCTCACAACTATGAGATGACAACCTGTGCTGACATCAAGAGTCGGTCGCTAGACCAACTGAGCCAGCCAGGTGCTTCATCCCTGTATTTTTAATTGACGCAGGCACCTGTTTGATGCTTTGAACAATTAGACAAGCACATTAAATAGATGAATAAATCTTTGATTTTGTGTAATATTTAACTAACTTTGAATGTGACAGGATATTTTAAAGCTGGGAAATTGTATTATAGGGGATCCCGGGAGATAGAGAAAGTCAGGCTGTGGTCGACACCCCTCCAGCGGTTAGTACCGGGGCTCCTCAGTCTTCAGTGGCTGCCGCTGCAGCAACTACGACAGCATCGACCACAACAGCAAGTCCTGGAGGTAAAGTGGGGTGTTTGGATGGGGAGGAAACAGTCCTGAATTTTTAGTGTAAAATGAATCTGAAATACCTTTGAGGTGAGGTTCTTTCCTGGAGCATTTGGATAACTCTTCAAACAAGTTCTCTATCCATATATGTTAGAGAAGGGCCCAAAACAAGTTCTTCCAAGTAGATATTTAATACGTTCTTGCTGAAACATTAGCGCTCTAATTTTGGCAAAGGGTACATCCTGTTTAGCCTATGCCACGAAGAGATGCTTCCCAGTTTGCATTTCGTGTTACATTCTGAAGCCATTCAGAATGTTTGCTCACCTTGTCTCTTTTCTCTCCCTATAAATGTCATAAAGTGTGTATAATTTCAAAGCCAGTAAGATCTTAGTGGTTATTATACAACCAAAGAAATAAAACACTGGGAGGTTGGAAGACTTCTATCTAAAGGTGAAACCCAAGCTTGAATTCAACTCTCTTTACTGGCCAGAACCCACCCTTCAATTGCCAAAGGCATGACTACAGAGGAAAGCCTGGAGCCTGTGGTGGACCCAAGAGTTACTTCATTCTCTTTCATTCCTCATTCTGTATACAGTACTGATGAAGTAATTTAAACTGTTAATTTTGAAGTGGCCCTGCTTAGATGCTTCATAGAGCTTTTGGCTCTACATAGGACATTAAGCTCTGGTTGACAAAAAGCCCTGAATGCATTGTATGCAGTCTCCCAGAGGACAGGCGTTTCATTTCTGCAGAGTTGGCCTAAGAATGGAAAGAAGAGGCCCCAGCTTTGGTTCAGATTTGGGCTGCTGTCCCAATTAGCAGCGCTTACTGGGTTAACTTAACTTTGAGTCTCATTTTCTTCATCTGTGCAACCAGTGTCAACACAAAGAAGGATGAGCATGTTATGTGGCCATTTTAATTTGAATGATTCTTCTTGAATAATTTAGGAAATAACATCTAAAAAATTTTCCGTAATTCATCGCTAATCTCAAAAACATATGCAGTTTTTGGTCTCTTGTAGTATAATCAGACAACCACCACTACCCCAAAAAAGTTACAGTTCTGTATTTTATTTGGTATCCTTAATATTTATTATTGCCATGGGATTTAGGACTAAAGAGTTCTAGATGTATTAGTTAGTACTAGGTTGTCTTACAGCTTATTTATCTCAAGCTTTTGTAGATTGTAAATGTTTGAAGTTCAATGGTAATAACCAAAGTCATCTTTCTAATTGTAATTTAAGTTTACTGATCTGCATATCTGAACTCTTAACTTCTAAGTATCAAATTGTCTTTCATTTACTTGGTTTAGAATTTCCCAGGAATTCAAACTCAGATTGTTTTTTTTTTTTCCTTGAGGGTTTACGTTGTATTATAAAGTATGCGGCTTTTTTGGTTTTGTTAGTCCTAGGTATGTATTTTTCTTAGGAACAATTTTAATATTTTTTATTTTGATAGAGTACATGCAAGTCATAAATTCTCATTATTTGATAATATCGAGTGCTCAGGACAATTGTAGGAAAACTTTGTTCTTTCAGTTTTCCATACTCTATCTATGCTAATAGGAGTAATTTCTGTAGTATGAGACTTGGAAGTTGGTGCCGTTGAAAGATTTTTTGACATTATTTACTTCCTTTTGAACACATCTGAGAACTCATCATATTTACTTGTCAGTGTTTGCTGTCTAAAATTATGATTGAAATCAGCTCTTTGTGTGTAATTGCTACTTCGATTTAAAAATGTTTGTGTATTTTAGGACATCCTCTTGAATTTTTACGGAATCAGCCTCAGTTTCAACAGATGAGACAAATTATTCAACAGAATCCTTCCCTGCTTCCAGCATTGCTACAACAGATAGGTCGAGAAAACCCTCAATTACTGCAGGTAACTGTTGAATCAATTTCAAAAGTGGGTTTACAGAGTATATCATTTTTTAAAAGTCCATGAGAACTCCCTTCCCCTCCACATGCTCTAGAAACTGTTTTTTTGAGGTGCCCTCAATAGAATATGCTATAGATCAGATACACTAACAAAAGAGTCCAGGAGGGTGGAGGTTGGGTTAATTTAAGTTGGTCAAATAATAAGTTTGGAACCACTTTATTAAAGAATCTGAGAAGCTCTGTAGCAAAGAAACTGTTCATGAATCTTTTTTCCCAAACTTAGTGAAGCACTGCGTCTTAGAAACACACCCATGAGCTTACGAATGCCCAAGTCATGAAGTATTTGGGCTTTATACAGCATTGTACTGCGTGCTAGTGTGGAAGATATGTGAGTTCTGTTTCTTTTTATAGACCCCCCCCCCCAAGCAATTTTTTAAAATTGATTTGGGGACCAGGAGACGTTTATGAAAGAGAATTTGAATTCTCTTAATTCCCTAATTTCTTTAATACAAGAAGTCACATCCTTCCAAGGATTACATAATCCAGAATCATTCTAAAATATGGCAGTTGTAAAGTTCTAGCTCTCTCTTTTACTTGTATTTAGAATTCTTGGTTTCCTGAAGATACTTCTATCATTGTCTTGTTTTTTTCTGTCCTTCATATCACCACAGCAAATTAGCCAACATCAGGAGCATTTTATTCAGATGTTAAATGAACCAGTCCAGGAAGCCGGCGGGCAAGGAGGAGGGGGCGGAGGTGGCAGTGGAGGGATTGCCGAAGCTGGAAGTGGTCACATGAACTACATTCAAGTGACGCCTCAGGAAAAAGAAGCTATAGAAAGGGTGAGTCGAAGTAAAACTGAAAGTTGAGTTCCTCAGTCACACTAGCTGCATTTCAAATGCTCGGTGGTCACGTGGAGCTAGTGGCCGCTGCATTGGATTGCACAGGTGTAGATTATTTCTGCCGCTAGAGGTTGTTCTATTGGACAGAGCCAGATAGAGCATTGTCCTAAGGATTGCAGCAGAGACCGTCTATTTTCGTCCCTGCTCTCATATCTTGTCCTTTGTGAGCCAAGGGACTAGCACTGAATACTGCTTTAGCTTTCTAAAATCGTTATAAATATATTTAAAAATTAAAGATTTCCTTTAGGTGTTAGCATTCATGAAGAAAATGATCTTAAAGTGTATGCTTAATGCAAGATTGTCCATTTTTTTATATTCTAGATTTTACTTCACAACTGCCCTTAAAATGTACAATAGATATGTATATGAATTATGTATAAAAAAACATGTATATTTAACATCAGCGCCTGATACTGTTTTTCTGTTTCCATCCTTACTGGTCATCCAGTTCATATTGAGGCACTGCAATAACTTAGTTTATGCGATACTATAAGTCATTCATTTTTCTCTGGGCTCCATGGTTAACATTTGTAAATAGCGACACAGTACTTGCCCTGCCTTATTTTACAAAGTGTTTTGAGATGGAAGTCTGATAAAGTGCATTTTAACTTAATACTTAGAAAAATCATCTGGGAGATAATTTGCCCGTATTTATGATAAAAACATATCAAGTGCTCAAGGTTTATAATTACATGTTTCTTAAAAGGTACTTTATATATATCATGCTAGTATTTTCCTCCCTCAAATAACATAAGTGAGTGAATGACACTTGCCTCAATTGTTCTATAGCAAATTTTGTTTTGTTTTAATAGTTAGGGTTAGTTACCAATTCTTGATTTCTGTTTTGGAGAAGAAATTTTTTCTTGTGTTGCTTGTGCTTTTGGTGTCATACTAAGAGAAGTTGCCTAATCCAAGGTCAAAAGATTTACTCCTGTCTTGTTTCTGAAGAGTTGTACAGCTCTTATTGTATTTAGGTCTGATTTATTTTGTGTTCCTTTTTGTTTATAGAGTGAGGTGTAGGAGTCTGGTTTCTTTTTTTTTTTTTCCTTTGGCATGTGGATATCCAGTTGCCTCTGCACCATTTACTAAAAAATTCCACTCTCCTCCATTAAATTGTCTTGGCATCCTTGTTGAAAATCAACTGGCCATCATTGTGAGGGTTTACTGGGCTTTCGTTTATGTTCCATTGATTTATGTGTTTCTTCTTATGCCAGTACCTCACAGTCTTGATTACTGTGACTTTTTGTAGTAAGTTTTGAAATCTCTGATTTTCTTCTTTCTCAAGATTGTTTTGGCTCTTTTGGATCCCTTGCATTCTGTATGAATTTTAGGATCAGCTTGTCTGATTTCTATAAGAAAAGTGAAAAAAAATAAAAAAAAAACAGGCTGGGGGTTTGATACTGTTTTTTCTGCAGATCAGTTTGGAGAGTATTGCCATCTTAGCAATACTAAGTCTCACCAAGCCTTGAATGTGAGATGCCTTTCTGTTTATTAGATTTTCTTTTTTTTTTTAATTTTTTTTTCAACGTTTATTTTTTATTTTTGGGACAGAGAGAGACAGAGCATGAACGGGGGAGGGGCAGAGAGAGAGGGAGACACAGAATCGGAAACAGGCTCCAGGCTCTGAGCCATCAGCCCAGAGCCTGACGCGGGGCTCGAACTCCCGGACCGCGAGATCGTGACCTGGCTGAAGTCGGACGCTTAACCGACTGCGCCACCCAGGCGCCCCTCTGTTTATTAGATTTTCTATAATTTCAGAAATATTCTTTGGTCTTGAGCTTGTATTTCTTTTGTTAAATTTATTCCTATTTTTATTCTTTTTGCTGCTGTTTTTATAAATGGAATCGTTTTCTTGATTTCATTTTTGGATTGTTCATTGCTAGCTATATAGAAATACCGCTTAATTTTGTGTATTGATTTTATATCTTACAACCTTCCTGAACTCACTTATTGTGTTTCTTAAGATTCCTGTTTGCAGAATATCATTTGCACATAGGCATAGTTTTACTTCTTTTCCAGTATGGATACTCTTTATTTCTTTTTCTTTCTTACTGTGTGTGTGTGTGTGTGTGTGTGTGTGTGTGTGTGTGTGTGTATGCATGCGTGTGTCTGAATGCCCTATCTACAGACTCCTGTGTATTGTTGAATAGAGGTGGTGAGAGCCAACATCTTTGTCTTGTTCCTGATCTTAGCAACCTGATCTTAGGAGAAGGCAGTCATTCTTTCACCATTAAGTATGATGTTAGCTAAGGGTTTTATTAGATTCCTTTTCTATTGGGTTGAGTAAGTTCCTTTCTATTCTAGTTAATATTGAGTGTTTTTATCACAAAAGGATTTTGTCAGATGGTTTTTATGTGTTTATGGAGATGATCATATGTAATTTTGTTTCTTTTCTATTAGTATGCTTTAATATATTGATTTTTGTATGTTGGACCAACCTTGCATTCTTAGGATAACTCCCACTGGTCATAGTGTATAATCTTTTTTATATTTTGGTCTGATAGTGTTTTGTTGAAGATTTCCGATAAGGAACATTGGTCTGTAGTTTTCTGTGTGTGTGATGATTTTGTCTGGTTGAGTGTCAGAGTAATACTGGCCTTAGAGAATGAGTTAGGAAGTGTTCCCTTTTTCTGTTGGTTGGAAGAGTTAACAATTGGCGTTAATTCATTTGGTGGTTGGTAGAATTTACCAGTAAAATTATCTGGGCCTTGCTTTTCTTTTTGGGAAATTTTGTAATTACTAATTCAATCTCTTTATTTGTTATAGGGCTATTCAGATTTTCTGTTTCTTGAGTCAGTTTTGGTGGTTTTGTCTTTCTAGGAATTGTGTGTTTCATCAAGAGTTATCTAATTTGTTGGCATAGAATTGTTCACAGCATTTTCCTTTGGTAGTTTTATTTCTATAAAAAGTAGTAGTGTTCCCACATCCCTGATTTTTATAGTAATTTGAATCCTCAGATTTCTTGTTTTCCCTGTTAGTTTAGCTAAAACATTTGTCAGTGTTGTTAATCTGAAGAAAAAAAGAGCCAACCTCTGGTTTTATTGATTCTGTTTTTCTAGTCTTTATTTACTTTCTCTCTGATCTTCATTATTTTTCTCCTTCTGCTTGCTTTGGATTTAATTTTCTCTTCCTCTTTTCCAGTTTCTTAAGGTAGATCCTTAGGTTATCTATTTAAGATCTTTCTGAATATAGGTAGCTACAGCTATAAACTTCCCTCTAGGCACTGCTACAGCAGCATCCCGTAAGTTCTAGTGTGTTTGGTGTTGTTTTCATTCATTAGAGTATTTTCTAACTTTCTTTGTGGTTCCTTCTCTCATCTATTGGTGAAGGATTAGGTTAATTTCTACATATTTTGAACTTCCTAAATTTCTTTCTGTTACTGATTTCAGTATTCATGCTATTGTGGTCAGAGAATGTACTGTGAACAATTTTAATCTTCTAAAATTTTTTGAGGCTAGTTTTATGGCCTAACATGGTCTTCATGGAGGATGTTTGATATATACTTAAAAAGGACATGCAATCTTCTGTTGTTAAATATTCCATAAATGTCTGTTAGGTCTGTTTGGTTTATGATGTTGTTCACATCTCTGTTTCCTTGTCAGTCTTCTGCCTTGCCCGGTTGTTGTGTCCAGCACTGAACATGATGATACCGACATTTCCAGCTATTCTTGAATCATTTCTCCCTACAGTTCTGTCAGTTTTGTTTCCTGTATCTTGGGGCTCTGTTATTACATGTATTTATAACCAAAGCCTTCCTATAGTTTATCATCCTATAATGTCTTTGTTTTTAGTAACAATTTTCTGTGTTAATGTATTTTGTCTGATATTAATAGAATCGCTCCAGCTCTCTTTTTGTAACTGTTTGCATGGTGTATATCTTTTCCCATCCTTTTACTTTCAGCATATTTGTGTCTTTGAATCTATAGTGTGTGTCTTGTAGAAGCACATAGTTGGATCGTGCCCTATCTACCTTTTACTTCAGCTAGCCCAGCTTTAATCTGGACAAGAACTAGGTAACAATTATTTTTGAGTTATTTCTTCTCCTTTCATGGATGAGTAGTTAATCGTGCTGAATTGAGACTTCTCTTTTTTTTTTTTTAATTTTTTTTAAACATTTATTCATTTTTGAGAGACAGAGCATGAGCGGGGGAGGGGCAGAGATAGAGGGAGACAGAATCTGAAGCAGGCTCCAGGCTCCGAGCTGTCAGCACAGAGCCTGGCGCAGGGCTCGAACCCACAAACCGTGAGATTGTGACCTGAGCCGAAGTTGGACGCTTAATTGACTGAGCCACCCAGGCGCCCCTTTCTTTTTTTTTTAAAGGTCATTTCTTGATATAGTCTAACACAAGGTGATTTAGACGGTTGAGGAGAGGGTTCATAAAAAATATTTGACAAATATATAGTCTCTAGTGAATTAGATAATTATTAAGTCACAAGTGATTTTTAATAGACTAGGAAAACAAAATTAAGTGGCTGGTGTCACCATTTAAAATGCTGTAAAATTTAAGCAGATGTAAACAGGACACGATATGTCTTGATCTCAAAATATATCATGTGATATTTGTTATATTGATCACCCATTTCTTTTAGTATGAAGTGTTTGATATGGCAAGGAGCTTGAGAGTGATAGTTGAAGTGATGATGAAGGACATGACCTTCTTTACAAATAATGAAGTAGTTAAACTCCTGTCCAGTTGCTTTCATCTATATCTTTACCTCTTACGTATTCAAAGCTGATTTACAAATTTCTGTAGGATCATTTATTTTTAAGTAATCACAGCAACTAATTTTGAATATTAATGCCAATGAGTGTTAGCAGAGTATCTAATAGCTTTAACTAGGAAGAGAGAATTTTGTAGGTGGTTGAGCAAGGGTCTAGATTCCATCTAGCTGCTTGGGTTGAACGGTGAATCCACACTTAGATAGGTAGGCATTCATGTAACATTTTCAAGAGCTTTTTCGTGTCTTTCATGTTTTCGGGTCATGATCTGTCAGTACTGCTGTGCTGGAACCCACAGTGTGTTTTCTTTCTTTTCTTCCAGTTAAAGGCACTAGGATTTCCTGAAGGACTTGTCATACAAGCATATTTTGCTTGTGAGAAGAATGAGAACTTGGCTGCCAATTTTCTTCTACAGCAAAACTTTGATGAAGATTGAAAGGGACTTTTTTTTATCTCACACTTCACACCAGTGCATTACACTAACTTTGTTCACTGGATTGTCTGGGATGACTTGGGCTCATATCCACAATACTTGGTATAAGGTAGTAGATTGTTGGGGGTGGGGAGGGAGGGATCTAGGATACAGGGCAGGGATACATACAGTGCATGTCTGCTTCAAGTAGCAGATGCCGCAAATCCACACAGTGTGTAAAATATTATACAACCAAAAATCAGCTTTTGCAGGTCTTTATTTCTTCTATAAAACAGTAGGTAACTTTTCCTAGGTTTCACTCTTTTTAGTGTACTAGATCCAGAAATTTAGTGTAATGCCCTGCTTTGTATTTCTTTGACTTAACATTGGTTTCAGAAAGAATCTTTGCTACCTAGAATTTACAGTCTCTATTTCATGGCAACACTGGATAATGGCTTTGTGAAATTGAAAAAATTTTGGAGCAATTGTAAACAGAAATGCCAAATTATTGATGGTTTTTGTTGCTGCTTCAAATACGTATTGAATTAATGTGTAAGAAAGCCCATTCTTTCATGTTAAATACTTGGGGTTGGGGAGGGGAGAAGGGGAACCTTTTCTTAAAATGAAAATAATTACTGCTATTTTAAAATTTCTTGATCATCAAATGTGAGACCCTTCTAACATGATTTGAGAAGCTGTACAAGTATAGGCAGAGTTATTTTCCTGTTTACATTTTTTTTTTTTTTTTGGTTTGTTTTGGGAAAAAATTGGTAGGTGTCTAATTACTGTTTACTTCATTGTTATATTGCAGTAAAAGTTTTAAAACCACCATTGCATGTTTGCTTTTGATGTATCCCTTTGTGAAATTAGCACTTTGGGGCCAATGGAGAAATGCAGCATTCGTTTCCCTCTCTTCCCCTTCCCTCTGCAGAAATGTGTTTGTCAATAAGTCGTGAGTTCAAATTGCTGCCTTTTTTTTAAAACCCACAAGATGCTGATTCAGTTCAAAATTAGCTAATGTTTCAAAGCTGGGTTTCTGATATTTATAAGTGTTTTTCCTTATTAGATAAGAATATATGACCATTAAAGTCATTAGGATTATATTACTTTCAAAAAAGAAGGTGGACAAAAGTATAAATCCAGCATCTCTTATTGCGTTGGAAAGACTGGCATAATCTTTTGGAAGGGTTGGGAGATGCAGCTGGAAAAGTACTTTGGAAAATACACAATCAAAAATATGGCATATTAAAAGAAAATCTTAATAGCAGTGTTGGCTTTTATTTGGACTTTTTTCAGCTCTGTTTTTTATTAGACTCTCCTTCATTGGCATATTATTGGATCATAAAGAGGGGGAAAATATCTCCTTGTTTAGTTTTTCAAATCTTTTCTTCTGAATATAAACAAGACTGTTTAAAGAAATAATTTTTTCCCCCTACCATCTGATACTGAGTAAAGAAAATGAATTTGCACAGATGTCTCCCTGCATAATCTCTTGCAATAATCCTTAGCAAGGTTTGGAGGTGACTTTGAAGCTTTTACGTCATGCACTCGTACCTGTCTCTTATGAAAATAAATGAAGCCATGACTTCTCCCCACAATGTTATCATGTAGTTTAATCTTCATGCTTATACCTTAAATACAGCAGACCTTTGGACTTTGTATTGCCTGTATGTTTTATAATGGATCATGCAAAATGTCTCAGGAGAATAAAATGAGGATTTGTAAATATGTTCATCTTTCAAGGCAGAGCATTGAGTTGGGAAGAGGGTGGCATTTCTGGTCGGAGGATGGAATATTTTCATTTATTTTATGCCATTTTATCTGCTACCTAATTGCTCAGCATAGCGAAAACTGGAAAAAAGAAAAGCAAAAACAAACCAAAACCCCAGCAGCAGACTCTTCTTTTCTTTGGAAAGTGACAGCAGAAGTTGGTGGCACGGAGTTTTTGTCCTTGGACAACAAAACCACAAATAGTGGGATTAATAATTACAAGAAGACAGTTTCAGGCCAAGTTTTGACCATTCTTTACAGTACCTTGTTTTATCTGCTTAAAGAATTAGCCAAGATGCTGTGAAAGAAATAGGCTTTTTGTGACCTTTTGCTGTTACCTTTAATTTACAGTTCTGGTAAATCTTTTAATGTAAGTGGCTCTTTGACTTTGGAATTTTTTTGCATTTGAGGTATTCTGTCATCTATTTCTTGAAATATTTTTATTGTTTAGTTTCTCTATGGAAATGTGAGGAAGCTTAAATTTATATTTGTTAAATTCTTATTGCCATCCTCTAGTCAAATATGTCTTTTGCATTGTTTAAAAATACTGAAGTGTTCCACCATATAAATTTTTCCTGTACCATGGCTAGGATTCTAGAGAATTAATTATAAAATATTTTCAATACATTCACCATTGCATTTCTCATTTTTTAAAATAATTTTGCCATATAGAATCTTAGATTGAAAGTTGTCAATGCCCCTGTCACTGTTTTCTTCAGTAATTGGTGAACATGTAGGGGGGCCAGGTCCTAGTTTAATTTTCTTGGGTCTCCTCTGTTTTTCTCAACCAAAACGTCAACACAAAGATGGGATACTTGATGTACCTTAAATCAAGCTTCATGATGGCTTTTAGAAATTTTAGTTAAATTCCCATTTTTCCTGGGCACCTGGGTGGTTCATTTGGTTAAGTGTCTAACTCTTGATTTCGGCTCAGGTCATGATCTCAGTTTGTGAGATCAAGCCTCACATTGGGCTCTGTGCTGACAGCATGGAGCCTGCTTGGGATATATTCATATTCATTCTCTGCCTCTCCCCGCCCCCCCTCCCCCACTCTTCCCCCTCTTTCTATCCCCCTTCCCCTCTCTCTACCCCTCCCCTGCCACACTCTTGCAAAAATGAATTTTAAAAATGAGTAAATTCCCGTTTTTCCCATGCTCTTGTCTTCTAGCAGCCAGCCTCAAACTGCTACAAAATATTCAACCAAAATTAAGCAATTTCAGGGAGTAAGTGCTTCCTGACCGAGTCCATTCTGGTGCGTTCCCTGGCTCTGAGGCTTGGCTACAACATGTCCTTTTAGTTGATCTCCCATGTCCATCTTGTTCCACTTTGTTCTTCTAAGCCAGGAGCTGGCAAACTGCAGTCCCATGAGGTAAGGTTTTCTTTTCTTTCTTTTTTTTTAAGGATTTTATGGTGTAAAAATTATTAAAATTTTAGTGTCTATAAATAGTTTTATTGAAATACAACCGTGCTCATTTGTTTACATATTGCCTGTGGCTACTTGTGCTACAGAGGTTTGCTGTTGAATACTTGAAACTGAGACTAAGGCCTGCAAAGCCTAAATAATTACCATCTGGCCCTTTACAGCGGAAGTTGGCCACCACTGTTCTGTGTGACTAGCCCATCATACATTAAAGTATATGATGCTTCCCATTGCTTTGACATTCTTGGCTTCTTGACTTTGGGTCTTACCTTTGGTTTGGGTTGCCTGTGACTGTCACAGGTCCTTTCCAGAGTAGTAGTATCAAGTATCGTGTGCCTCACGTGCTAGCCTAGCCTGTATGTGGTGTCTTCGGGTACTACTCTGAAATTACTCTCTGCTGTTGCTGCGCTATCCCTTGCTCTCACGGTCAAATAATGAAATTTAGCACACGGTCTGAAGCTGAACCTGGCATAGCGATGAATTCACCAGAACAAAGAAGTGCGATGCATGCATCTGGGAATCCTTAGGCCCTAGGATCAGACAACTGGAGGAAGCACCTGACCACAGCTGGAAGAAGAGAGTACGTGGAACCCCCAGATGGGGGAGTGTAGCCATTGGACCTAGTTGGGTGGCAAACTAGTTTCCAGAACAGAGTGCAGGGAGTTTGGGAATGGAGGGGCGGGGTGGGGAGGAGGGCAGGCAGTGGCAAGGAGGGAGAGTGAAGGTCTAAGCTTGCTAGGAGAAAGATCCAGCACTGCAGCAGTGATGAGGGCACCACAGGGACAATGGTGCTGACAAGTTGGCTGTAAAAGGTTTTTTCTCTATTGTGATACTTGATTGCGAAAGCAGTGGTCCCTCGGGTAGAGCTTTCACTGAGAGGAGGCTGGGACGACTATTGAGTTTGAACTACCATGACAACATTTGAATAGTAAAGGATCCTTCACCAGGTAGAGCGTGCATGATTTGTCTTCCAAGAGTACAGATTAGAAAACAGCCATCCCAGACTCACAACTCCTGTCTCTGACACTCAGCTTGCCGTTCTTCATGATGTACGCCCTCATCTTTTCCCAGCTGGTTAGGCATGAGTTATTGATGTTAAGAGGTTGTAATCCTCCTCAGACAGTGAAATGGTCTTCAGAGCACCTGGGGCAGCTGTTCTCAATGCTGGCCTCGTCTCAAGCAGACTCCTCTCTTTCCCCCCAGTATTTTGGGCAGCTATTACATTTGCTGTGCCAAGAACATTGGGAGGCTTTGTCCTACACTTGTGCTGGCTCTCTAGATGGGCCTTCCACATGGAAGCCTGTGTCTCCTGCAGCTGGTTACTGCCTATGGAATTGACAGCTTCTATAACAAAGTCCAAAGCTGTCTCAAAATTCATAAAAATCCAGTGGTGAGTTTTAGTCTGGGTTTTATTTGCCTGCAATCATGGATTAGAAGAATACTTGATAAATTACTCAAAAGTGATTGGTTAGAAACTAGATGAGAATGAATGGGGTTGGTGCAGGTATGCCTTGGAACAGCTCGAGGATGAGTTATTTTCAACTAATTCTGTGTACTTTGAGGTGATTTTTGAAACTTTAGTATTTCAGTCCTTTAGGGTTTTTTTTTTTTTTTGGCAGGGCTGGAGTTTCAAATTTCTTTTTGGTCAGTTAGGCCTGGTTTGACAGCAGTTTGTCTAATTTTTATTTTGTCTCCAGTTCTAAGGAAATTAAAAGTTTAATAGTTTCACTAATTAAGTTATTTGATTGTAAATTTTTTTTTTTTTTTTTTTTAAGAGAGAGCCAGGGAGAGAGGGAGAGAGAATCTTAAGCAGGCTCCATGGTCAGCGCAGAGC